CGACGGTGACCGGTGCCCCTCGGAGTTCTCATTGCCATCCAACGGTACGGACCCTGTTCCTTCTCTCTCTCTCTCTTCTCCCTCTTAATCCAATTTATTTAGCTTCTTGATCACGATTCTCTTTCAAAAAATGAAATGCACGCCACGAATTCAACGATGATGAGCTCTCTGAGATCAGTAGTTGCGGTTTGTTGAAGAAAATCGCAGTGAAAAGAGCAAAAAGGCGAGGCCCTTAAACAAAAATTAGCACGATTACCTCCAGCCGTTGGATCTGTAACTGAACAGTTCGGATCTGAACAATTCTCATTATTAGTGTAATTTTTAGAATCTTGACACGTGGACTTCAGTTTTCGGAGGGGAGAGGGAAGAGGAAATGGGGATTTTTTTTTGGGGGGTTTGTGTGTTAACCGGAGGTATTTATTTATAAACGGGCGGTCAATTGCGGGTTGGCGGGAGAGAGAACCCGGTGGTTGTTTGTTCTGTCGTGCATGACGAAAATACCCCCGAACAAGGAGCACGCGGTTTTAATCGCTGACGGCTGGGTAGGGGCAGTTTGGTCCTTCTAAGAGGGGAGAACAGAGTTTCGGAAGGAATCTGTGTGCCTGCCACGAAGGATTTGTGTTCTATCGGACGAATATGCCCCCCGGTTATTCAGTGAATGACATGGGTTTGAATTTTTGAAGAGCGCTGCTGTCTTCGTGACCGATGGTGTTAGTTAAGTCACACAATTTCCTATTGATCTCCGCCTGCACATATGGCTCCGAAATATTTGCAGAGAAATTAGGGGAAAATAACGATCTAGAAGATTCTGGAAGCTAGTGCCACTGCTCATAACACGTACATTTCATGTAGTGTTTCTATTCTATAGCCGTTCATGAAATAGGATGGATCAGTCGCGGACCTGTTCTTGTTCAAAGTGGTTCATTTGAACCACCTCAGATTTTCAAATAGTATATATATATTATACATATCAGTTTGTAAACAAATGTAATTTACAGCCCAGTGGTATAAGCATTTGCTTACATAAAAGAGGTCAAATGTTCAAAACCTCCCAAAAGCCTCTTTATATTTCTACTTTCTCCTATTATCCTTATTTTTGCTTCTCTAAATTTTTTTTTCTCTTTACTATTATTTGTTTAGCCTAATTTTTATGCTTTCTTTAATAGCATCTGGAAAAAAAATTATCGTTTATTTTGAACCACCACACGAGAGGTTGTGGATCCGCCACTGGGATGGATGTGCTCTGTATTTTATAGTCAATTGAATTAAGGGGCGAAAAAAATTGGCAAAATTCATTTTTCGATGAATTAGATTAATTAGGACCCCATTTGAATTAAAGGCCAAGTTCTCAATTCATAAGCTATAGAATAATATCGAATTAAACCGTACAAGCAATTTTATGCTCTACTCAATTGTGCTTAGTTATGGAATTAAGATAACAATCACCCTGAACAAACCTGTCTTTTGACTGAATTTTGAAACACAACATTTCGACAGTTTCAAAGGTAGGAATTGTGTTGAGTTGGTGCAATAAGGGCTATAAACTCATGATTAGATGTATGTTTCATTAAACCCTAAGCACATAAATTTCGACTAGCTAGGATTAACCTTACTAACGCGGTGATATACTTTAAAAAAAAAAAAATTCTTTGCTACAATATACAACAGATTTAAGGCTAAGACCAAAGTATTAACGAATTCCGTACAACCTGATATCACGCATTACGAAAAAGTAAATGGGGGTCAACATCGTTAACCTAAAACTACTTCCTTGATTAACTAATAATAGGGTTCAGGAAAAATAAAAACTAGGGGGGGGTGGGAAAAAATTAAAATTCACCAAATCTTTTCAAGCTACCTAACTCATGGGCATGTATACTCACCGTGTCATAGGCTTAAAGGGCCTTGATTAATACCCGTAGACCTTCCAGAAACAATATGAAATATTTGTGTAGTACTATCACCTCATCCAAAGTTTCATCACTCGTACTTCTAAAATCTTTGTAGCTTTTACAAGTGCTAATATTTCTATCAAAGGATGCGATCTTCCTTGGTTGCTTGAGCTGTTAGGACTCAAAAAGGATTAGTTGGATGAGGGCTGGCTTTGATACAGGTCATCTAAGCATGACGTGATTACACTTAACAAAATTAATTCCCACCTCCCTAAGCTAAAAAGCCACCCTAATTGTCAATAGCTCGATCTCCTTTTAATACTAAACTCAAGCTTTAAGCTCGTTTTTTTTTTAAAGCAAATAGAGATCTAAAGGGATGCTATGAAAGTTACACATTCAATGAAAATGGAGTAGAAATCTTGAAGAGAAGTTATTTAATTGAGTTTTAGGGTTACACAGGCCTAGGCGGCTTGATCACTTGCATATCGCATGTGCACGTCTAGCTTCATTCTTTTAAGTTTTTTTTTTCTAGGTGTTGGAGGGCAACAAGTGTGCCTTTAGTGACATTTGATCACCAACCCTGTTGACTATATCATACATGCCCTCCTCCAATGTGTTTTATTGTGAAGGATGTGCTTTGAAAATTTAAGAAATCCCTATACAATTGATCTTGGGTGGAGCTTGATTAGATCTTTGGTATTTGAAGATGATAAAATAAGTTCTAGGAAAGAACCCCCTACCTACTTCAAGTGCGTGAATAACCTGAGCTGTGTGGTCATCTGAAAGCAATGTGGTGAATTTTTGACACATTAATGGCTAAATTAAGAATATTCACGAGGCTTAACAACTTCATATTTCAGTTCAAGACCTCAAAGCGTTGGGCGATGAACACAATTAATATGTTGATGCAAATGCAACAAAACCCGCCAAAACACAAGAAACTTTAGAAGTAATCCACTAGACGAGGATGAGAGCTCTTAGATCAATGCAAAACAAGAAGGTTTGAAGTGCTTTGAACATAATAAGCGAAACTTAACATAAAATACGTAGAGCATATAATTATCCATGTTTTACACAGCCTTGGATAATCAAAGAGAACTTATGGGCATATAGGGTGGGGGTGGGGGTGGGGGGGTAGAGATCTCTACATTCTTGATTGTAAAGATTCTCTACAACTCACCAATCAAAACTCTTCACTTAGTGGACCCCATGAATGATATTTATTATCTACATAATATAAAAATATTTTTAATTGTAGGACCTGTGAGATAAGCCAATAGTATTAGCTCACCTAACTAAACATTGTATGCATTCTCTACATTCAAGATCGTAGAGAGTCCGAGCCAAATATAGATAAATTGGTTTTCCTTGTAGTCAGCATGATATTTGTCCTCAAAAGGAAAATCATCAATTAGTTTTGAGGAGCTACCTTAGAACTAGTTTTGAGGAGCTACCTTAGAACTTTAGAAGTGAGGATTTAATAGAAATCGAAGAGCTTGATTAATATCATCGTCAGTCGTGAAGGTTTTGCAAAGATGGGATAATATCATTGTTATACATGGTGCTTGTAACTATTAAAACGTAGAGAGAATTCTTTAGTCATGGATTTAGCATTTGGATTTTGAAGTGGGAATTAATCACTTTTTCTTTAGAAATGAACAAAAAGTAAATTGTTCACTCAAATCGCCTACTCTACCCAAGATCTACTGTTCTGAAGAGTTAATTTTGGATTTCAAGCCTAACTAATATACAAACGAGGGACATTGTAAACATTGATAATAAAATGTTCACCAAAATTTTTTAAAAAAAAGTTCTGTTAAGTAGTTCCCCTATACAATGTAAACAACTTGCAGTGGTGTTTTCTGATTTTCTAAAGATTTTTTCCATAAGAATATTACCTCATGATGATAAAGATGATTTATACAAGGTTTCTTTCTTTTTTTTCCAGCTATTTTGTGAAACATAGAGGCATAGCATTTAATCATGCTTTATCCATAAATTTGTAGATTTAATTTTTAAATAACTATCTATAATTATAAAACTCTGAGATATTATTTCCTTAAGACTTGAAAATTTTCATTAGATTAATTATTATATAGAATGGTCAAACATACACTTGCAATATGTATAATAAAATATTAATATATTTTCTAATTATATAAATCGTTTTAGAAATTTAAGACGCATAGCAAGCCAAGGATTGTATTTTAAATAATTAGCAGATTAGTTGGAAGCATGGTCATCCTGTTCTCTAGAAGGAAAACTTTTTTTCAAACATTATTGGCAACCTGTCTTAACTTATTAATAATTCATTTTAAATACTCTATCAATAATCAAAGTCCTCCACTCCATTAATTAAAGAATAAGACAAGATTAAAAAAAAAAGAACAAGACCATCGATCAATTCTCCTGACAAATGGCATAGAGCTCAAACCATCGTTTGACAATCTCCATCCTCTAAAGTATAATGAGAACATTTTTCATAGTAAAAATTTTCTGATATTGATAAAAATGCATGCTTAATATTAAAAAAAACACTCCAAATTCACATGAATCCTTTTTCTTCTAACACACCCGTTCACTTTGAAAAGGGAAAAAATTGAATCTATCGATGCGATAACAAATTCCATTCATTTTACACGACAAATTTTCCATTAAAACAAACACGCAACTTTGATTGAGAATTCTAGTCACGACATAATTTTTTGTATGACGCTGACTTTCTCCTGTATCCCTGAGAATTACATGAAAGCAACGATGATCGCATCCATTTCATTTTCACCCCGTTGAAGAAAGGTGAATGCGAGAATTACCGAAGAAAACGAAAGAGCTAAAAAGACGATAGCAACCACTCGCACGCATTAGGTAGAGATGAGAGAGAGAGAGTCAATTAGACGTCCCTTTTAATAAGTTGAGATTCCATGAAAGATTATGAGGTGGAGATTATGTATTCTCACTCTCAATGTCATATTTAACGAAACATGATTAAATCCTACGCATTACCTGTAGTTGTCCCTGAAAGCTGCAGCCCACGGGTTGTTTTTGACGCTACTCTGAATGAGGAAATGTATCGTTGATGATGATGGATGCAGGCCAATTTGAAAAAAAATAATTAAAAAAAAAAGTTAATACGAAACAGTAACAAGACGAAGTTGATCAAGAAAAAAAAACTCGTGTAGCAGCCTGGGTGTAAAAAAAAACCCCCCTAGAACCTGCTACTTATTCTGCTGTTTCTATGTATGTCACGAACTATCTTTTTCATCGCTACTGCTTCTTCGACCGCTCTAATGTACGAGGTATAACTGACCGAAGAATATTTACGATACTCAAGCTCATGTCATGGTTGCTTCAGCAGGTGAACTGCTTGTGGATTTTATATGGATGTGCAATGTAGCATGTGGTAAATAATCAATGTTAACAAATTAGACGATGACCTTGTTTAAGTCGATAGCAAGTCGATATAAGCAGTCAAAAGACTCGGCCATCCTTTTCCTGCATGTTGTGCTTTCATCTGGTGGAAAAACCAGAACTCAACTTTAGGTAAATTGGCATGCATGAACCACCTATCACTGTTCTCATTATAAACAATTTAAAAGATTTAGCACTACAAAGATGTGTAATGTGGTTGGCTGACCTGCTGGTGAATCAAACAAAGCTAGAGCAGACAAAGTTTAAAGCAGAAAGCTTTGGTGTGTTTTTTTTTCCTCCCCCAATTGAAATCACAACTTACCAAACCTATCTTGACCTGAATGGATCCAAGTCCCACACAAAAATAAATAAATAAATAAATAAATAAAAAATAAGCATGAAAAGAAAAGAACAAAAGATATGGTATTGGAAGCAGCCATGTTTGAAGCAGAGCATAATAGCTTCATCAAACCAAAAATATATCAAGGGTATAGTTATGCACTGAATTAACTTGTGACTCTAAAAATCAAGGGGGAAAAGATATATGGAACCAGCTTTATTTGTGATATCAAGAATATACAATTAGGTAACCAACATAAAATAGAACTTATATGACTTGATGTCCAATTCCTGGAAAGAACAAACATATAGGAGTTAGCCATAAAAGCTCAAAGTATCAGCTGAACTATCTTACTTAAAAACCAACCACATAGGTTTCAGATTCCAAGACAAACAAAAGGAGATCAAAAGATATCTGAACTACCATCTTTTGCTCTAATGTAAAAACGTTTGATACACTAAAAAGATATTCTGCACAGTTAAGTGTCCATTTGTTTGAGGATAAATCATTCTCTTTAGGTAGTGACTTTAATAAAGTTTGAAGAGTCAAGATTTAACAAGGGATACCTAGAAGAAAACATCAACTTGCAATAGCAAGCCCAGATGCATGAAGGCTAGAGAAGAGAGGATGGCCTCCTTATGTCACAAACATGTAAAAAAGTGTCACGTAGACTGTAGGCCGGCTACTTTAAATCTTACTTAAAAAAAGAAAACACAACCAAAACGATATTATAAAATCTCCTAAAAAGTTAAGCCTTAAAAAACGGTAAGAGGGTGTATGCCCAAAAAAAAGTATACCCCAAATAGAAGAAATTCCATGCATCCTAAGTACGTTTAGAATACATCGTATGGCAGAAAAATAATTGAATGATTCAAGTTAACCCTTTTGCATTTGAAAGCCATAATCATCAGTAACAACACAGAATTAGAAGGGTGAAAAGATCCTCTGATTGATTGCATGTATGATAAATAAATTTAAACTGAAACAGCAATAACCAAACCTTGGTTACAAAGCAAAGGTAACCATGCAAAGTACGGTCTTAAGAAAGTGAATCATTTTGTTGACAAGGCTAATGTTGTTAGCTGAAGCTTTTGATTGTCACCGCATAAGCAAGCACTAGAGACAGTGTGAGTAGGTGGTTATTCTTGACTGTGAAGCAATATGAAGATTTCACATCATAGATGTTAGCATATGATGGGATTTTGTGTTTTAAGGGACTCCTAATCAGCCAAAGACCTAGGTCTTGTTTGTTAAGAGATTCTTCAACATGAAGCAATTTGGTTACCAAAGGTTTTACTTATTGCTCCTTTGGGTTCTTTTTTCAGCAAGGTATAAAATCTTATTCAAGCAAACAACAAGTGTACATCGATAGATATGTCGGCATAAAGCTAAAGGACCAGATGTCAAATGTTCTACGTATAATCATCTTCTCAAAATATCCAAAGACCTAGGAAAACTTGTTACCACCAATCAATTTAACTTTTTTGCAAATGAAATCATACAGGAGATAAATAAGTGCGTTTGAATGAAAAGGACTTGTGGCAAGCAAAAGAAATCAGTAAGATCTTCTTACCTCGATAAGGGGGAGTACGGTTAGGTAATTACTAAATCTAACAATACTGTGAAATTTGTAGCCATCTGTTACATATAAAATAAAACAAAATTAAGCTTATCTCCATCACTGATAAAGCTTAGGCTTTCTTGTCGACCAAATCTAAACCAGCTACCAGCCACTAGCTGATGCAATCCTAGAAGTAGCTGGCTGATTCTGAGCACAAGATGACTCCTATAAACCTACTAAGCTAACCAGAAGCAGAGAAAACTATTAGGAAGTTCTACTGATGCATAACAATTACAGAACTCTGTTGGCTAGAACATGTCGTGAGAAAAAGAAATGAAAAAGGCGCAACGAATGAGAACCAAGTATATACAACAAGAACAAGAAAAACAACAAAAAGGTCTTTATCTCAAATATCTGGGTCGACTACATGAATCATATTCTTTCCTTCAATCTACTTATGAATATATTACGAACTATTTCTTTAAGTGCCTCACCACTACAGTAGCAAGCAGACACACATATTTACCTTTACAAACTTCAATCGAACTGTGAAGATCATATTATTGACCGGTGCAAGGTACACTGGTACAGGCTGTCTCATTTAGTTCAAAAGTATCAAAGGTCCAATGGACATAATTATCATCCTAGATGACAACTGTTTCGGTTACCATTGTGATTCATTCACAAAGTTCGCCAATATTCACACAGAAATCCTTTTTGCAATTTTCATGTTTCTAGTACATTGTCCTTCCCTCCTCTTTTGCCCCAAATTAGAAACCAAAACCAGAGTCCCCTTCTTCCCATTTGTTGCTTATTCCTATTTCTTCAATCACCACCAACACCATTCACGACATGAAATCATTATTACTGAAATTCCCACATATAGATAACAGAACAATTTTGAAGGAGACAACTGAATAGTATGAGGATCAATCATTTCCATAAAAAGATAGAAACTGTCAACAGTAATTTGTGAAAAGCTGGAGACTGATCAATACAGAAGATATGAGCAACGATAACTGATATGGAGTAATATACAAATATAGCTTAATACGGATACACGGTATGTGAATAAAAATAAAACTAAAATATAAAGCAAAACAATTAACATCTCCGCATCTGCATATAAGTCTTTCAAGCTCAATAAGTAACCATACTCGAGTGTTAATAAATTATTGTACAACAATGGATCTGACCAATAGGAGAATCTTATCAGTAAAAAAGCGTTTATAGAGCATAAGCTACAAAACTGAGGCCCAGATGAAATCTCTACTCTTAAAAATTACGAATTGCCATCAATGTGGTTTGGGTACATACCCATCTACAGCAAAGTTTCTAGTAGCTGAAGGAAGTGCTAAACGCAATCCATCAAGCTCAGGCTTGGCAATCACTTGGCAACCAAGGCGGGAGCTGCAAAAGATGAGTCAGAACAAGTTCCAAAATGCAAGAATTAAATTGAAGTTTCAACAAGAAGGGGAGACACACGTTTCTGTAAGCCCAAATGCCAGGTCTAACATGTCATTTTCTTCATCAGTAGGATCTTCCAATTTGTTGTAGTAATCCACATCCTAAAAGGAATTTGCTAGTTAGATCATACATATCTCAATAATCAAACACATGGCGACACAAGTTGCAAGTTCATACCATCACGATCACATGGCAAGTAGAACATGCAAGTGAACCTTCACATGCCCCTGAGATCACATAAAAAGTGGATATCACTAAAATAGTAATGTGGCTCATACGCTATAATATATTATAAAAGTATATATATCATATTTATTTTTCTGCCAACAAAATGGCTTTATCCAATTTCATTGCTCACAAAAGAAAATCCAGGTTCCCATGTTCCATAAAGTGTCGAAAAGGCAGAGTGTTACTCGTGGCCTAGAAGCATTAGAAAGTAAACCAAATCATTTTCTTCATATATATGCGATTAACATAGACCTTAATAAACATACTTCTCTCCTTGAGTCCTGAGGCTGAACTATCGCTAACTGGATTCAGGAGTAAAGGGTAGTGGAATTAATCAACCAGGGTTTTCTGATTATCCATAGTTTCTGACAGTAAATTGGTAACTAGTAAATGGGTGGCAAACCAGGAATTTCATCACAAAAATAGTCAGTAAAACTACATAAATTTGCAGTGTGCTTTCGAGTGATCACAGGGAGTTTACCTTCAAGTTCTATGTCATTTTCATGAGCAGCCTCTAACATTGACATCCCTATAGGAACCTTGATGAGCTTTTCCTCACCATCCTTGTCAACAAATGTTACAGAAATTCTGCATGATACAGCAGAATATATGAAATGAAACATGATTTTATTTGATATTGTTATATTTTGTTAAGAGGTGAATGCAATTCACAATACAAGCTGAAAAATCATGAAACATACTTTTCCTTCTGCTCACTTCCTTCCTCAGAAGCTTTCTCAGTGGCTGTCGTGGAAAAGCTATGATGGTTCTTCTGGAAAGTTGCATATATATAGTTAGCATCAAATTCAAACTAATTCCTGCAGTAAAAAAAATTCAGTAGCACAACGCGTAACACTAGCAAAGAATAAATAGAATGTTTGATGCTGTTTACAACATATAAAAAGGAATGGCATTTTTTTTCTATAGATTCTAACATAATATATTACTGACCACAGGGTGTAAAAACCGACTAAATGCCCCTTGAAAATAGCCATTTCTGTTTACAGAAATTTGACCTGTGATAGATTTAGAAAACTATTAGATAAAGAAAGTGCAAAACTTCAATATATAACAAGAATGGCGGATACAACAACAGCTATAATAGGAATAGTCATGAAATAATTAGTACTCATAATACTGATATAAAGACTTTCATGCAGATCATAAATATATGTGGTTTATCGGCAACAAAAACTGCAAATAAAATTTTGATTTCATGGGTATACCATTAATCTACAAAAACAATATAGGAGATAAACATACATAACAGTACCAAATCACCTAAGGGGGGTTATTCATTGGTGTAAATTTGAGGATAATGGGATAATTTTTGGAACAACACTTTTTGGTGTTATTCATTGGTGCAATTGGAACTAGAGTCAACTTTGTGGTGTTATTGGTTTGTTGGGTAATTGTGGGATAAATACCCCACTTTCCCCCAAATTTCCCCAACTATATAAAGCCCCCTTACGCCTCACCCTCAAAATTACTCCAAATTCGTCGCTGGAACAAGATGGGGGTAAACCTTCCCCTGATCCTTCCTCCCCTTCTTCCCTCCTCCTCTCCTCCGCCCTCTCCCTCCACCTCGCCGTCGCCCTAGAACACTTCCTCTCCCCTCGCCTCGCCTCCATCGGCTACGCCCTCTCCTCCTTCCCCCACTCCAACGACGCCCGGTTCCCCCGAGTCCTGATTTGTTTCTCTATCTCCTTGAGTGGTTTCTAGTGGTAGTGGAGAGGGTGGTGGGATGGAGAGGAGGGTTTTGCTTCATTGTATTTCGTTGGGTCTGCTTCGTTGTGGGTCGATTGGGTTCGATGGTTCTTTGTTTTTGTGCCTTTGCTCAGCATTGATGGACGAAATGTTTCCGCTGAGGGCTTTGATTCTGATGGCAGGGAGGGAGGGGGAGGGGCGGCTGAGAGCAGTAGGAGATGAAGGAGGGGCAGGAGGGGAGGGAGTTGTAGGTGTAGCCGCAGTTGAGCCGGGGGTTGCTCACCTCGTAGGCCTGCTGGGATTTTACAGAGGGGAGGATGAGGAGGAGGAGGAGGAGATGTGGGCAGGTCTCATGATGGCTGTGTGGGTGGGTGGGTAATTGATTGATTTTTTTTGTAAATTTGTGGATGAGATTTAATATCTAAATTTAGTTTTTATGTAAATCATCATTAGAAGAATACATGGAGGAGCTTGGCATTCTTTCGAGCTTGATAATCCTAGGAACAATTTGCTGTGGAGGTGCATTCTTATGTTGTATATGTTTGTATATGTTGTAGATGTCATACCAATTATCCCACTCAAATTGTCCCATTACCCATTTTACCCCATTTTATCCCACTCAAATTATCCCAATGGGTAAAATTATCACATTGGGACTATTAACCCAATTTGCCCCAAAATCCCCAAAAT